GTGTGTGTGTGTGGTGGTGTGTGGTGTGTGTGTGTGTGTGTGTGTGTGTGTGTGTGTGTGTGTGTGTGTGTGGTGTGTGTGTGTGTGTGTGTGTGTGGTGTGTGTGTGTGTGTGTGTGTGGTGTGTGTGTGTGTGTGTGTGTGTGTGTGTGTGTGTTGTGTGGGTGTGTGTGTGTGTGTGTGTGTGTGTGTGTGTGTTGTGTGTTGTGTGTGTGTGGTGTGTGTGTGTGTGTGTGTGTGTGTGTGTGTGTGTATTTCTACCGCACCAATTGCCCGTGTTGCCGACAGCAGTGGCAATCGTGGATCGTAGGTAAAAACCGCCACGGGAACAATTTGTTATCAGGCGAGTTCCAGTTTTTCCTCAGGATCCTTCGGTTTACAAAAATGATTTATGGGCCAGTTCGTCTGAATAGCGAATGAGACGAGCCCGGATCAGTCGCCGGCCTGTTGCCAAGCCGTGCTGGAGCTCCGTCTCGCCGGGCAGGAACGGCAGCAGCCGGCGCAGCTGGCTGCCGCCCCCGGCCGCCTATCGCTGGCATCAGCAGCCAGGCGAACCGAGCGAACTCCTGTGGCGATCTCCCGAACTGGACAGTCAGCTGTGGCCAGCGGCCGACGGGTCCGCTCCGCCGACCGCTTCAGAACGGTCGCGCCGGCCGGATCAGGCACGGCCGTGCGCGCGGCTGGGTGGCCCGGTTCGGTTCAGCCGGTCCCGTCTGGGCGGGTCAGCGCCGGGCCGGATCAGCTGATCAGCGTCTGGCCGCGGCCGGCGACCGACCCGGCCCCGCTCGCGGCTCGTCAGCTGACGGCGCCATCAGCTGACCGTCGGGACGGGTCACGGCTCCCGGCGCCGGCGCCGGCGCACCGCGGCGGTCATCGCACCACGGACAAAGAGAGGAGCGCAGGCCCGCGGCGGCGTGTCAGCACCACGCCGCCGCAGAGCGGCTGAACGAGACCGGCGCCGGCAGCGCCCAGCCCGGCTATACACATCATCGCGCAGGGGCCGCCCGCCGCCAGTGCAACGGGTAGACGCCAGCCGCGCATGCGCAGAGCGCCAGCCTTGGGTGGCGCGCCGCGCGGCGGCGGGACGGCGGCTCGGCGGCGAGGGTGGGCGCGGGTCGGCGGCGTCCGTGTCTGACGGGGAGCGGCCACGCGGGGCTAGCGCGGCCCGACTGCCCGCAGACACCCCCGCAGCAGCAGGGGACGCTCGGCCGAGTCCAGCCTTGCCGTCCCGCCGCCGGCTGCCCTGCGCTCAAGGTTCACTGCCCGGGTGCAAGGCGAGTCGACCGGTGGGCGCGGCGTTTTTATGCGGCGGGGCCGGCGCTGGCGACTTCAGACGGCAGCAGCGTGCGCGCGGCCGCGGCGAGAGCGGCGCCCGGTGCCCAGTCGCGCGCCGACTCTCGTGTGGGCTGTGCCAGCTCGCAGGAGTGACACACCAGCGCACGAGCGCGGCGCCGCACCGAGCCTTATGCCGAGTTGGGGACGCCAGCGCGGAGCCAGGCTGGGCCAGCTGCGCGCCCAGATGGCCGCCGAGGAGGACATGGTGCAGTTCGACAAGGACGACCCGGACTTCGTGGCGCCCCAGCCGGCAGAGTCCATCCCCGGTGAGTGTCGCCTCCTGCCTGCTGCTCATTCTTACATCTCACCCGCGCTCCGCCGGCGTCATCAGTTGTCGATCAGACCAGGGCGACATGCGAGTGCAGCAGTGGTGTCGGATTGGTGCAGGGCACGACCCTCGCAGCGGTCCGAGAAGGCAGATATGCATCCGCGTCCGCTTGCCGCACTCCTGCCATCTAGCGGGTTAGCCTGGTCCTAGTTCTCGCCACGCCGCGGCCTCTCACATGGGAACCGTTGTTGCCAGTTGGCGGGATTTCCGACGGTCACGGCTGAACTGTGTGTCTTTGTGTGTGTGGGGGGGGGGGGGGAGGCTGTGAAGGTTGAATGCTCGTATACTGGTGTATGCCTCCATTTTCTCAGGTTTTATATCGGGGTTATCTGGACTTCGATGTTCGAATGCTTACCGTGGCGATATACCAGCGCACGCGGACTCCTAATCTCTCCCAAAAATATATTCCGCGATGCGATCCATCGCAGGAAGCGCGAATCAGTCATTCGGCTGCTGTGTTTTGTTGTGAGCTGGTCCTGGATCTATATTTATACTGAGCCCTACCGAGCGGGCGTTTTTGTGATTTTGTAACCCGCTTGGCCGTGCCGTGTTGCATAACGACAGCTTGTCGTCGCCGTCGCTGGCCTTCTCGGTCTGCCGCCATTGTTCCCGCCCCGAGGCCCTGCGTTCTCGTTGCCCCAGCCTGATCTTTCTGGCGCTTGTCTTTTTGCCTGTCCCGCCAGGCTGTCAGTGAAGGTTACCCTTTGTTGACCAGTGACCCGTCACAAAGATTGCAGTAGAATACCTTCCCTCGAGCGCTGAAGGCCAGCGCCCCAAATCTATCTGAATGCTCGTCCGAATGGTCTGGTTTTCTCCTGGTAGCGTGCGATATTCGTGTTCGGATGACGGGTATGCCTCGTGTCCAGACAGCGTCGAGTTCATCCCATGAACATTGCCTGCTGCCCCCCCCCCCCCCCCCATTACCGGAGCTGGGGCCGACCATGGTGGGCAGGGCTTTTCCCTTGTTCTCGGCGATTATGCATGATTACGCTACTAATCGCGCCACTTTGACATTGTGGCGCCCAGATGCACCGATGCATTCACGCCACGTGGCGCGCCGTTCCCCGGCTGCACGAGAACATGACATGCACGTGCTCCCGTCTAAGCCGTCCAGATCGGAGCCAGAAGCTTTGGCGACAGGCAACGCCGGGCCTCGTGTGTTCGGCCTGGCCTCGTTCTTTCGGGCCGGGTCGCACATGTTCGGCCTCCCTGTGACCATTGGTCTTCCACGAGGGACCCCTGGTCGCTGCTGACTCAAGAGCACTCATGACACTCAAGGGTACCTTTGACCGCTCATGACGCCCGCGAGTGTCCCTGGCTCTTCACGGCACATATTGTTCCCGACAGTTTATAAGACATAATGCCGGTGTATCTCTGACCGTCTCGTGACACGCAGGGGTGTTCCTGACCGCTCTTGATACAAAACAACTTATTCCTAGCCGTTCATGACGCGCAGGGATGCTCTGGCCCCCTGTGACGCACAGGGACGTCCCTGGCGTGTATGGGACACGGAGGTGTCCCTGGCCGCTCGTAACGCACTGTAGCGTCCCTGACGTACATGGGCACGAGGATGTCCCTCACCCCCGTGGCGCACAGGAGCGTCCCATGACGTTCATGGGCACGATGATGTCCCTCACCCCCGTGGCGCACAGGAGCGTCCCTGACGTACATGGGCACGGGGGCGTTGCTGACTGGTTAGCGGCACGAACGACCGTTGCTGTGCCAGAACTGACCGATCTTGGCATCCGTGAGCTCCCCGGACTACTCTTGCACACGGACGCCTCTAACCGTCAACAGCATAGCACACGGACGCCTCTAACCGTCAACAGCATAGCACACGGGCGCCTCTGACCGCCGACAACAGAGAACACGGGCGCCTCTGACCGCCGACACCAGAGAACACGGGCGCCTCTGACCGACGACACCAGAGCACATGGACGCTTCCGGCCGTCGACAACAGAGAACACGGGTTCCTCTGACTGCCGACAACAGAGTACACGGGCGCCTCTGACCGCCAACAGCAGAGTGCACGGGCGCCTCTGACCGCCATCAGAGCATACGTGCGCCTGTGACCGCCCTCCGACTGCCGAGTGTTCCGCACCATCCTGATACAGGAGGCTGTTCTAAGCAGTTTTTGATCCTCGGAAAGCCGGGACCGCTTATGTCCCACAGGGCGTCCCTGACCGCTCGCGACGCACGTGGCCTACCGGACCTCGTGATGACGCTGCCCGTCCATGACACACGGATAGAAAGACCTTGTCACATATGGCACGCGGCGCGCCCGGACCGTTCTTTTTAGAGACGGCGACCCTGACCGTCTGGTCGCTCACGGCCCCCAGAGCGACCCCCTGGGGCGGCCGGCCGGCGTGTCACATCCCGCCGTGATTCACGCGGTCTGATTCGGTGAGCAGGATCCGACCGATGCGTCGGCGCAGGATCACACGTGCCACCGCCTCGCCCGTTGCGCCCGTGCAGCTGCGGTGCCACTTTCTCCGCCGGCTGACGCGGCCACGGGGCCGCCCGGCCGGCCAGCCGGCCGCCGAGGGGCTCCTGTTCGCATGGCGCCCCGATTAGCGCTCTGACGTGTCCCCCTCCCCCTCCCTCCTGTCCGCCCACCACGTGGCGGCGGACGCGACGGGACACCTCCCGCGAGCTGATCTTGCTCACGGTACTGGGAACTCGGCGATGTCCGGTTTGCGGACGTGTTATTTTCGCGACGCATTTTGCGTCATCGCGTTCCGTGTTATAACGGGCCTAACCTTTCACGCGGACGCGGCCTCGCCAAATAAACAAAGCCTCGGCGCTATCACGATCGGGGGCGTCGTTACGCCGGCTCAATCAGCTGTTGCCCCAATCAGCTCCCAGGACGAACGCGTCATGCGAAAACGCGAGTGGGCGTTCTCATTAGCCTGCTGGAGAAGACGCCTTCAAGGAAGCGAGATCCCCGGGTGCAGCAGCACCTGCCGCAGTACTGCAAATCCCGGAACGTGTCCACTGCATGATGAAGCGGAGCGGACACGCGGAGCAACTTTGAATTGCCTCTCGGCGTTCTGCTCGTGTTTGGTGACCCTCTTGGTCATCCCGATGGCAAACATGGCATGGGCGGCTTGCTTCGAATATCTTGGAAAGTGAGCTACTGAAATCTGCGCCGCCTCCGGCCGCCGGCAAGAGCTCTTGTTCTCGGCGCTCCGAAATCGATACGACCCTAGATAGTGGTGCTTGGAAATGATGAGACCTTATCTGGAGCGGATAATATCTGGGTGATAATTTTTGCAATAGATCATAATCAGAAATGTTGTTGGTGCGCTTTGTGACGCCAATCAACATCAATTCCGTGCACGTAAATGAGGATCTGTGGGAGCATACATCTGCCATCAATCGCTGATGAACCCTTATGTCGGAACCAATGGCTATATGTACCAAACGTCGAATGGTCTGGCAGTCGGTCATAAGTGTCGGTCAGCTGCTGACGACATGACATGCTGATGAAGTCCCATCGTCGGCTGACATCGAGCCATCACGAGTGATGACGTCCCGTCACGTTCTGCTAAGGTTTCTCGCCGGCTCGGCTCGGATCAAAGATGCGGCGGGGGGGGGGGGGGGCTTGAGGTTTTTTAAGCATTTTCCTCCCCGCAATACATTCGGACGTCATAGTTTAATTCTGCGCAGCTGGGCGACTTGCCTCCCCGACCTCCTGTGGCGAGGCCCATGAGCCGCCTGTGCGATCGGCGGATCGGCGATCGGCCTCCCACCTGTGTTGCTGTCCTGCTCCCGATGATCGCCGGCACGCCGCGTGACTCCCTGTGCCGCTGATGTGCCTCCCTGACGTGCCTCATGGCAGCCGTGCCGTGCCGTACCGGGGCCGGTGTCCGGGACTGGGGCCGGCGTCCGGAGTCGGGCTGGGGCCGCTGTCCGGGGCCGGGGCCGGTGGCTGGGGCCGGGGCCGGTGTCCGGGGCGGGACCGGTGTCCGGATCGGAGCCAGTGTCCGGGGACTGGGGCCGCGTCCGGAGCCGGGCTGGGGCCGCTATCCGGGGCTGGGGCCGGGGCCGGTGTCTGTGGCCGGGGCCGGTGTCCGGGGCGGGGCCGGTGTCTGGGGCCGGGCCGGTGTCCGGGGCTGGGGCCGGTGTCCGGGGCTGGGGCCGGGGCTGGTGTCTGTGGCCGGGGCCGGTTGTCCGGGGCAGGGTCGGTGTCCGGGGGCTGGGGCCGGCGTCCGGAGCCGGGCTGGGGCCGCTGTCCGGGGCTGGAGCCGGTGTCCGGGGCTGGAGCCAGTGTCCGGAGCCGGGCTGGAGCCGCTGTCCGGGGCTGGAGCCGGTATCCGGAGCGGGGCCGGTGTCCGGGGCGGGGCCCGATGTCCGGGGCGGGGCCGGTGTCCGGAGCGCCGGCGATGGGCCGCCAGCGACGTTGGCGCCCTGCCGATCGGCCGGCGGCGTCGTCTGACAAACAAGTGTGCTCGCCAGCTGTCGGCATCCGACCCGGCACCGCCGATCGCGTCCGGGCCGCCCGGGCCTCTTCCGGGCGGCCTGCCGGCCTGCCGGCGGCGCGCGCCCCCCGGAGACTCCGTGGGAGTCCCCCGTCCCCGCATTCGCCGGTCCGGCCCGAGCCTGGCGACCGCGTCCGCTTGGTCTGGTGCTGGTGCTGGTTCCGGTCCTGGCTCTGATCCTGCCTCTAGCCCTGATCCTGGCTCTGATCCTGCCTCTGTTCTTGGTACTGGCTCTGATCCTGGTTCTGATGATCGTGATCCAGGATTGTGATCCTGACATCGCCCGTGATCCCGACCCTGAATCTGGCTCTGGTCGGGACCCCTACCAGCCGATCTCAGACGTGACGCGCTGTGGTGTGTGTGTGGTGTGTGTGTGTGTGTGTGTGTGTGTGTGTGTGTGTGTTGTGTGTGTGTGTGTGTGTGTGTGTTTGGTGTGTGTGTGTGTGTATGTGTGTGT